GAGGGGTGGTTGATCTTGTCGAATCGGAGGATTCATCATCTGCGGGTTCATCTCGGGATGTAGATGGTTCGGGGGAAGGAGAGCGAGGGGAAGGTGGAGAAGTCGGGGCGGATTGCAGATCCGCGGGATTTTCTGCGGGAGGATCGGGGGTTACAGGTGAATAAGAGGGAGTTTCATACCACGAATCGTCGTGTGTATGTGTATCTGTGTGTGCGTGTTCCGAAGGTGTCGGTGAGTGTGAGTGCACGTGCAATTGATTTATATGTATATCGGTGGGGTTTTCTATCCTATTGTCGCTGCCGGAATCGTCTCCTAATGTCGGAGGGGAGGTGGCGTCAATGGGCCTAGTCGGCTCCGCTTTGTTTTGCGCGAGCGCTGCCGCTCGTCGCAATTTTTGATTTTGTCGGTGCCGCCGGTGCCAGCGGTTGGAATGCGAACGGCGGGGTTCCACTTAAACGGGAGGTTCTCTTAGCAAGTTATTATTTATTGTAAAAATGTGAACAAGATTAACATACGGAACTGATTTCTCATTCTGCTGCCATCAGAACTTGATCAAAAAAGAGTTGTCAAAAAAAAGGAAAAAGGGGGAAAGGGCTAACTCTCTCTCTCTCTGTCGGTTGCTATTCACGACTAGAGTCGCGAACTGCCCTTTCGGCGAGGGTGGTCAAATGAGGAATTGACTCCTCGGCCGGTTGCTATTCACGATTAGAGTCGCGAACTGCCCTCCCGGCGAGGGTGGTCAAATGAAGAATTGATTGCGAAGAAGCAAAAGAGTATATTCTCGCGATGCTTTTAGGCGGTTATGCGTCATTGGTAGATTCCGAGTATTAACCTCGAGTTAGATCTTTAACTAGTGGAACTCCCGATTAAAATTTGTGGATGGACTTACTACTTGCTGCTACTGGTGGTGCGATTTCCTTCACCCCTTCGGCCCGTACGGCTGGCTAAGTGGTTCGGTGGATTCTCGGCACACTGGTTGCACTTGCACTTGTAACTTGTATGCGTCGCGACTTTGCTGCGACACTCCCGGCAGAATCAGTAAGTTTTTCTGGATACGCGGCGCGATTCTTTCTGAGTTTCCGATTCCGAGAGCCCTGGCTTATATACTGTTTTAGTAAGCGAGGACTCTCCCAATCGGGAACTCAGTTGAGATTTGCTAGTTCCTATTTGTTAATTAGTCGGTCGGGCGACTTCCAAGATCGCCAATCGGCGACGATCTCTCGCTTCGGTCGCTTCGTCCGATTTTTCGGGGAAGGAAAAAGGGAGAGTGTTGTCTTTTGCGATCACGCCGCATAGACCCCTTGTTGTTTGTTTGTAATAAAAATGCCGAAGTTCCTATTTGCGCCGGTCGCTCTAATTTTTATGACCGGCATTTTCATGGAGATATTCAGGTTTGTTTGGAAAGCTGCTCGAATAGTTATCTAAAATTTTGTGTTATTGCTAGGCGCAGTTTATCTTTCCGGGCGCCGATATAGTTTTCGTTTGTTCTCCTATCGTCTGGAGTTTAAAGTTTCCAAACGATAGAAGACCCGTTTGAATTATTTATTATTATTGACCAAAAAAAAGGTTGCTATGCGCTAGCGCGTCGCGTCGCAGGAAAAAAAGGGAGCGTGGAGTCTCCAGGACGTAACACATGCTTATCTTTTTTTTTTTTGTACCTACCTATCTACTTACATTCTTACCTACTAAGTACATCTTGCATTTGTATTTTGTAACTGATTGATTAAAAACTATTGCTATTGTATTTCTACATACTACCATGATCAAAAAGTAACCGGAATTTATTCATAAAAAGAAAAGTACATGTTTATTCTTCAAAATTCAAGTTGTCCCCTTCAAAGTAGTCCCCGTCGGCTGCGATGCACTTGTGCCAGCGTTTGATCCACCTCTCGAAGCTTTTCTGGAAGTCGGTTTTTGGTATAGCCATTAGTGCCTCCAGCGATTTTAGCTTTATTGCTTCCACACTCTCAGAACGAGTTCCTCGTAGTGGTTTTTTGAGTCGATCGAATAGAAAGAAGTCACATGGTGCCAGATCAGGTGAATTGGGCGGTTGTTGAATGGTATTGGTGTTGTTTTTGACGAGAAACTCACGAAAATTTTTGCACGAAATTCAATTCTTTTGGC